CAGTAAGAACAGGAGCAGCTCTCAGAGATCTATTTCTAATTGGTTAGAAATCTATTTAAAAAATATTCACTCTACCATGTACTAAATATTTTCTTGTATTGTATCGGTCTAATCTTATGATTGAATGCTGGAGTTAAGTAGAATGCGAAGATTAAAGTTTAACACTATTCGCGTCGAATTTCAAAGTCATTAAGGTAAAAACAGGATATGCCTTGCACAAAAAAGTTACTTCCTTTCGCTGAATCGTATATTATAGTCGATGACTCAGGATGAGGGTAAACTGTGAAATGATGAAAGTTCTATTGGCATATGTATTGACACTAAAAAATCATAGATCTTATGTAGACAATAATATATACCATTTTACATGCTAGTAATCATTAAAACGTCTAGTGCTCAGATAGTATGTAAAATCTTTTTATTTTTCTGAAAAATTATATGTATCTTTTGAATCACTGTTCTATCAAAATATAATGATTATACGAACCTTGTTTATTTTAAATCAGTTTTTGCATACTCAAGATATATCTGCATATAAATCAAGAACAACGTCTTTTTATAATACGAATCCTTTTTTGTTGGCCCAGGGAAACTTTCCCAGCCCCTTAACACGACGGAAGTATTCCATGAGTCATGGAACCTTTACACATATCGTATGTTTATTTTGTTTCTTTTTCTCTTTTTCAACTGATAGTTGTGTTGTTATGTGATCCTTATCATTACACATTCTTTTTGCGACTAGGTAAAATATTGTAGAATAACAAACAACTATTTTGTCTTCTATCTTTCTTTCTTCTTTCTTCCCATCTTCCCTCTTCTTTCTATATATATATATATGTGTGTTAAATTTTACAACCGTTTACTCGAAACATTAAGTAGCAGATAATTGAAATGCGTTACGCGCAAGACAATGACAAAGTTCTTCTGATTGATAGTCCTTATATGCCTGCTTCGCAGCCGTTGTCATTGACAGATGATCCTGAAATACGAAGAACTCGGAAAATTCTTCTAATTTTACTTAGTGGCATTCTTGTAAGTTCTACTTGTCTTATGATTATCGAGGAACATCCATCTTTGTCGACTTATTTTTAAAAATATAACTTTTTACTGACTAAACCTTCTGAACATCTAATTGTTTCGATTTGAAATAAATCAACTTAATTCACATTGAACGACAAGATATTCAGTCAAACAATATTTAGGCACCCATATAATTTTCCGATCATAACTTGTATACATTCAATGAATCTATTTTTAGGTCCTGGCTGTACTTGGTACAATTGGTTCGATTACTGGCAATGGAGTTACGAATAATTCCGAATACTCGTCACGCGGTGTTCAAATTGGTCGATCTCTTATTTCAGTTGTTTTTCTCAGCTTTGGATATTTGGTCGCTCATCGATACTCTAAAATAGGCTTACTAGTGGTATGTACCAACTGTGGTGTGTTTTTTAGTTAATGAATAACATCGCTTTTGGGAAATTCTCCTGACAAACTAAATATAGCCAAGGGGAAAATCTTTTTCAGGAAGAAGTACGATGTACAAGTAGTTAATTACAAAATCTATGTTGTATTTCTTTCCTAATTGCAATTGAAGTAAATATTTTCTTCATAAATATCTAGATTAACCGAAAACGAATCCGAATTGAAATAAAAGAAACTATTTCCATGAGATTAAACTTTGCTAGGTGAGAAATACTTTTTCCAAAAGTTATGATATATTGACAAAGTTTTTACGTTCACGTTTATTGAATGCACACATGATTTGAGACCGTTTGAAATAGCCAGCAATGACTTTTCGTTTACTCGTTATACAACCCATTTTAGTATCATCGAGACACTGTCAACACTTATAGCCATTGAAAGTTATGATATTTTGTAATTAATTGTTAATTGAGTTGGTCTGAATTATAGTTGTATTATTTTTTCACCAAAT